AGCAGAGTGAAGGGGGAGGGGCTGAGCAGGCTCAGTCTGTAAGGAGGGGGCGGCCTCAGTTTCCTCCCTGGACCCAGCCTGCCTCCAGCTAACCCGTGAGAGCCCTGAGATCGGGAAAGAAGCCAGAGGGGCCAGGAGGACCCTCACTTCTGGCTTCCTTGTTAGTTACTCCTGGACAGACACATCGGGATGAAGAGGTACGAAGTGACCGGACGCAAAGTGGTCTTCTACTTTGACGAGGTATCGTCCGGGGTCCCCTATACCCATGTGGGCCTGGCGTGGGCCCTGCAGCTACATCAATACCGGGGAACACAGGCTGGGAGGATACATTCCAGACAGAGCTGGTGCTGGTGATGGCATGATGTACCCAGAAGGATCCACTCTTTGTGGAACCAATGGAGGAGGGAGGATTACCGTGGAATATTACTCAGCCAGGAAAAGGAACCAAGCTCTGACCCAGGCTACAATGCAGATGAATCTCAAGGACAGGATGCTGAGTGAGAGAAGCCAGACATCAAAGGCCACACGGTGTGGGATCCATTGATACAAAATGTCCAGTAAACGCAGATGCACTGAGCCAGGAAGTGGATTACTGGTTGTCAGGGGCTGAGGGAGGAGGATGGAGAGTGACTTCTGTGGGGGACAAGGTCTCCTTTGGAGTGACAGAAAATTCTGGAGAGGGCCAGCAGGTGATGTGGTAGTTAAGGCAGCTGGATCCCACATGGCCAACTGCGTGGTTTGAGTCCCTGACCTGTTGGCTTAAAAATCACACCAGGCGCTTGTGCATACGTGCCTAAAATCTCGAGAAAATGAAGAAGGGATTGCAGCATGGCCAACTCCCCTGGGGGGGGGGGTGCTTTCTCATTCCTCTCACCCCTCTTCTGGTGAGCACTTGTGCCCTATAGCAAACTTAAAAAAAAAAAAAAAAAAGTGGAGCCCGTGGGTGAAAAAAAAAAGTGGAGCCAGTGGGTGGCATGGTGGTTAAGGCGCTGGATGCCCACATGGGAGACCCTGGTTTGAGTCCTGAACCTGGCAGCTTGAAAATTATGCTGGCTACATGTGTGTGCATGCCCAAAATCCCAGAAGGAGAACGGAAGCAAATGGCATGGCCATTCCCAGAGGGAGAGGGATGATTTCTCTCTTTCTCTTTTATTGTCTGTTTCTGGGGAGCACATGCGCCCTATGACAAAAACCTTTAAAAAAAAAAAAAAAGTTCTGGAGTGAGTGGTGGTTCATCTCATTCTTTTTTTTTTTTTAAAGAATTATTTCATTTACTTAATTTGATTTGACCAGAGAAGGACAGAGAGAGTGAGAAAGCAAGCCTCTAGGTCCAGGATTCGAACTGTGGCCGGCCATGTGGGACTCCAGCGCCCTTAACCACCATGCCAGCTGCTGGACCCTCAGTAGTGTACTAAAATTCTACATGTGTGCACACACACATGCACACACACACACACACACACACACACAGGAAAGGAGGGCTTGAATCTGGTGCTGGGGTTGAAAGGCCGGGTCCAGCTGCCACTTTTCAAGAAGGTCTTAGAGAATTGAAAATGGGATTAGGTTTGTTTCATGCATCCTGGGTACCCTGAAGTCAGCCACTTCTGGGCCCATGCTTTGGGGTATCACAGTACCCGAGGGACCCTATCGCAGCCTCTCTGGCCTGGGGATCCGCGCAATCTGAGCCCCCCCGCTG